GGACCCCGGCTTTACGCACCGTGCGACGCAATCGGCATACTTAGTCCAGGAATGCCTTCAGAATGCTTCACGTGCTGAGGTCTAGTCCGCACTATCATCTATTATCTCCAGTCTGACATCATCCAGCGCCCATCTCCACTCATCCCGACTGTGCTATCGGTGCCTCGTCACGAGAGTTTGGTTCTCTAACAGGGCGGCGCTCACCCCTCGCGTTGAGAATTAAACTGTAAAACGAATTTTTATTTTTATTTTACCAGGAAAGGCCCCATTGAGCTATGTGACTGTTTTTTCAGAAGTGAACTGTCCACAAATGATAGCATCATCATCATCATCATCACGTGGAAATGTGTAGCAGCCAAATACTCTAAATGCGTGACGTTGATTCTAAATGTAGAGTGAAAAACCGGAGGGCCCGGAGAAAAATCCACGTGGCCATGGGGAGAAGACGCACACTCCAAATATACAGCAGGCGTCAGGATCGGGATCAAACCCACGACCTCCTGTATACCTGGCGAGGTCATTAATATCTCCTGCCCGCCGTGGCTCACGGGAGCGGCTACCGTCAACTTGAGGTGGTGGTCATTCGGTCGAAACGTCAACATCTCTCTTTCCCCTCTCGGAAAAATCTGTTTATAAAAAAAAACAATCCTTGTTAAAGTTTTGAATACCCCGTTATTCATTCTAACAGTATTATATATACACACAGCAGTTGAAATTTAGATTCCTATGCTGTCATCAAGCAGCGATCATTCTAAAATGGCCTCCAACGACACGCCGCGTCATCGCCCCTGCTCAGCACGCCCGATAACCGCCTTGTCCGCTGGGCCACACGGCGCTCTCACATCGCGGAGGGATGACCTCACACCAGTGGCTTAAGCCATCGAGGGTGCAGGCAGTGCAACTGCTCCGGGCGGGGGCGGGTCTCTAGCCACCTTGTGCCGCCGGAGGGGGCTTCAGACGCCCGGGCTACGCAGAGAGGGAACGCCGGGCGGGGGAAATGGAGGCGGGCGGGGGGGGGGGGTGCGAGGGAATACCATTTAATTCCTTGCACCGGTGCCTATGCCAAGCGTGGCATATGCCACCCCATTACCCCGTGGATGGTTCGTGCCGATACCGCTCTGTGTATTCGTAGACGCAGGGGCCACACCCAGCTGTTGTGCAATGCCCAGGCTACAGCCATAGTGACGCATGGTTAGGGGGTGCGACAATTCTCCCCTGCGACCCCCCCCCAAGTCGCGATCCGGTGGGACGTCGCTATTCGGAGGTCGCGATTTTACCTGCGGCGGCCTCTTGCAGCTTTAGGGGCTCAGAGAAACTCGTTACGCGCAAACGCTCTCGAAATATCGGTGGCCGTGATCTCTCCCGCGGCTGGATGAAAACCTCCCGCCCAATTTACCTCCACCCGAGCTTTTCTCTCGCCAATCCTTCACGGTCGCGCGATGCCATGATCCCTTCTAGCACCTGCACAGGAGTTGATTTCATCGCTCCATCTCACACGAGGGACGCGGCTCGCGAGTGCGCACCCACTCCCCCATTTCGGCTGCCGCTCTGTCGACAGTCTCAACCAACGCCGTCGCCTCTTCTCGCGACGCGCCCTGCCCAAGCCCACTCTTCTCAAGAGTCCTCCGTGCGACATCTCAGATTTGACCCCTTCACCGATCCGCACGTTCCCCTCTGTGTCGCTCAGCGGCACTCCAAGCACGCTTCGCTCCGTACCGCACTTTCCCGCCTTCGTTCCGTAGATTTTTTTTGTTGCTGTCGCGAGCGTCTGCGTTTTCCGATCCACACGCCACGGCGTGCAAACCCACGTGCGCGGATCAACCAAAACGAATTGATAACCCACGCGCACGCACGAGTGCCACGCGCACTTCAGAATCGACATTTGATTGACCGAGATGCGACGCATCGTTTGCTCGCCTCGCGTCCGGCGTACGAAACCGCGTGGTCCGGTGACCGATCGCTGGGCCACGACTGCAGGTTTGCATGCCGGCTTCATTCAATTCACCAACAGCGAGCACCGCCGGCTAAAGCCAACATCGAGCCGTGTGCGTGCGGGCGTGTGCGCCGTCGGTCTATCGGTGAAATTTCGGCTGAAATCAAATTGCGCGCTGGTAAACAACCGGCTAGATGTCAACTAGAAAGCCAACCACGTGAGCTCTCCTCCAAGATAACACGCGATTTGCTCCCTCCCAACAGAAAAGCTCCAGCGGTAAATTTCCGGGTCGTGCCACGCGTTGTCCTGAATGGCGTCCGGTCGTTTCGGTTCACGCGCCCCCAGGTTTTGGAGCAATTCCTTCGAAAGCTCCCGGCGGCACGCGGAGGCGAAACGTCGGAACACCGTGACCGGCACAGCAGGCGGTACGACCCGGAAACACGACGGAGAGCTGCAATGGCAGCACGGCCGCGGAGGGAAACAAAGAAAAACGACGCAAGTGGCGGTACTCTGAGCAGACGTTACACGGCCCATTTACTGCGACCAAACGTTTCCCCGAAATCATGTGTGCAGCACTGTAATTGCCTTGATTGGGTTTTCCCAGCCGTGTGACCACACGTGCCCCCATTACCAGGCGTGGGTATTTTCGGGCACAAGAATCTCAGTGCTTAAATCATCATGGGTTCCAGCTCGTCCTTGCTGCACCGGGTACGGGAAGGAAAACAGCACCCTCAACATTTGTCCCTGGGAATCCTAGTGCACAAAACTCGTTAAGACGGGACCCCACGTCTACGACAGCAATCGTCAGGCAGTCGAAAGCAAAAAAAACGCTACCAAAAGCAACATTCGGCAGGCTGCGTTTCCAATAGTGTAGGCCTAATCACATCACAGGGCTTTTGACAGAAGCGGCGGTGCCACGCGCCGGTGCCACGCGACGATTCCACGCATCATGCACCGCTCACAGCGTGTCGGCTCAGCCGTTGCCCTTGGGGCCAGCGGAGGGAAGTTCCTTGAGAGTGGCCTCACCAGGGCATACCACCAGGCCTGGCGGCTTTCCCTGGATCGCCCCCCTTGTTGTTGTTGTTGAGGAGGGCAGCTGTCCTGGGAAAATCTCTGGGGCAGAAGTCCCAGTTTTTGTCATTTGCGTAAGACTCTGCACTTATACGAAGCTCGGCCCCTCTTATGGTACTGTGAGATATTCCATATCCTGACCATGATGTGTCCTTGGTGGTTTTTTTGTACCTCAGGAGGTGGCAACCCTAGGCCTCATGGATGGATGGGATTAGCGTGCACGCACACACAAGCGCACGTGCATGCGCGCGTCTCCCTGGAAAGGCAATTACAACCACTCTCGTCCCTCTGCTCTTGTCCAGCGCTGGGAACATTAACCCCTCCCACCCCCCCTTGAAGTATGGCTGTCGATGTGTTGTTTACGTAGCGGCATAGTATTTACATTCGTTTGAAACGAAGCGTACACCTTTGTGCGTTGTGCGTGTCTGCGTGCGCGCGCTAAGCAATTCCATTTTGGTTTCGGCAACGCAGATTCCAGCGGACCGAGTGAATTCTCTGCGAGACCCCGACGGACGTCGCTCTGCGCTTGCCGTCCGGCCACGCCCCCCCCCACCCCCGTGTGGTGTGCTCCTGAATCGATAGATGATAACATTCATGTCATCTTGTGTCTAGGAAAATATCTCAATTAAAAATTACGCTCGGGGAAAAGAAACAAAAAGGAGAAGAAAAAAAAGCACACGTACAGCGTTTGCATACCGACGTACGGTCTGCGTTCGCCCCCACGCGCGCGCCTCTGTTCATCTCTCGTGCGACGCATCGCGCGTGGCCGCGCGCGGCGTTGACCCCCGACACGCCAGCCACCAACACACACCCATGTCCGCCACCTCGGTGCCGCGATCGGCTCGCGATGGCTCGGAGCCACGTCTCGGCAACCCTCGCGGCCTGCTTTCGCCGTCGACGGAGGGGGCTCAGACCGCCGTCAGATCGCAGCCGACCTCCCCAAACAACCGGGACGCGGCCCCGGCGGCGGCCGGGTCTCGTCAAGGCCAACTTCCGATTCTCAGCCAGAGCTCGGCGCGAGGACGGCCACGTTCAGCCACTGCATTCGCGTAGCAAGGCGGGCTCCCCCCCTCCCTCCCTGCCGACGTTCCCGACCCCCCGGAATGATCCTAGGGGGGAAGAAGGGAGGGGAGGGGGGCGGCGGCATCTAAAAGTTCGGCGACCTGCGGTCCCACGATTCCAGCCGAGCCCCAGGTCGACGGCCTACGCAGCTCGGCTCGGCGCGAGCGTCGTCGGCGCGTCAGAAGGGCGGAAATCCTTCTGGCCGTCACGCGAGAGGCTCGTTTGCCGAGAGGCGTAACCGCGCACGAGTGGGCACGCCGCCGCCAGCGCCACCAGCAGCGCCAACCAGCGTCGCTCACAAAACCATCTTCCGATCGGTCCTTCCAGCTGGAGTGGGCTGAGCCGCCACCCACCCCCCGTAATGTCAAGATACGTCAGGAAAATATTGAACACCCACTGGTAATTTTCTCCTCCAAGACAACCCCCCCCTCCCCCAGACTGTAACAAATGGACAGAGGTGCGCACCGTCTGCTCCAGCATCGTTTGTGGCCTCGCCTGTGACGTTAGTTTAAGGTTTGATCAACGTCGACTGTGTCACCCCCACCCCTCCTGAGTTTCCGTATGCCTCCCACCCTGACCCCCCCCCCCTCCACTCCCCACCGAATTTAAACAAGTCAACAAGTCTCGCCGCCACAGGCGTGGTACTTCTTTCATTTCCTCTGCCTCCAGTGACCGACCCTGGCATCGTCGTGCCACCTGTCCCCACTCTTCGCAGGAAACCGTCCTCATTTGTTTTGTTAAAGCAAAGCTGTCCCCCGGGGGGAAATGCTGCAAGTCTTCCTAGAACAGCAGCATGATGAGTCGGGCTTCGTGTCGGTCACATCCTCTCCGCCGCACACGCTTGTCTCCTCACGACGGGTCCGTTGTTTTTTTCTACTTTCTTTTTTCTCTCGTGGTACTTCCGAGGGCAGCTTGCGGCCTCGGCAATCGCCTCCTACCACATGTAGTAGCTGCGCGAGGTGTCCACCTGTGACGGGGCGGACGAGGAGGCGGACGCCTTCCCCTCCGCGCCCTCCTTCTCCCGCTCGCCGCCCTCCGCCTCCCACAGGCCGATGAGCGGCGGGTAGAGCTCGTCGAGCGGGATGGAGGAGCCCTTCTGCACGTACTGCTTCAGCAACTCGTCGTAGGACCTCCGCCTGAGCCGCCTGACGGCGCAGGCGGCGAGCGACGCCAGGGTGAGCGCCGCGAAGACGGAGGCGGCGGCGGCGGCCGTGGCGACGTTCACCTGCCTCTCGGCGGGGCTCACCAGGAGGGGCGCCGAGCGCGTCGTCACGTTGACGCAGGAGCGGCAAGCGGCGCGTTGCTGGGCCGTGGCGATGGCCAGGCACACGGCGTAGGCGGTGGCGGGCTGCAGGTGCGTCAGGTTGTACTCGCGCACGCCCACGGGCACGTGCGCCGTGTAGGACGCCCGCGAGCTCTCCACCTTGACGGTGGCCGACGACCACTTGACGTCCGACGACGTCAGCGTGTCTGGGTTCACCTGCGGGAGCGGGAGGGAGGTGGGGTGGGTTTTGGCGGTGGTTCGGGTTGAGACGGCACGCGGGTTCAGGAGGATGCGTGGGTTCAGGAGGGTGCGCGAGAAAGCTTTCGCGGCTGGACAACTCCACGAACGAGCGGGAAAAACAAACACTCTAGTACCCCCCCTCGGCCCCTCCCCCCTGTGCTGCCATCTCCCAGCCATTTCATTCCACAGCCCAAGCCCACTACGTCACACCCTAGTATATCCAGGCAGTCTCCCCATTCAAATATTAAACAGGCTCCTTTCTGCTTAGCTTCTGAGGTCTCACAAGATTGGGTGCACCTGCCATTGAGCAATTAGCCTCAGCTGGAAGAGGGCCTCCCCACAGAGGGTATTTGGTTATACTTCACCGCTTTGGTCAGTTTGGATTAGGCGAATGCAGGACCATAGTGTGAGCATAGAAGTACGGTGCAACAATGGATTTTTATGCACCGCCTACTTCGTAAAAAAGTGTCTGGATAATGACACGGCATCGACCAAAAAAGTATGTCTCTCCAACAACGTATCCCACTCAATACCAAAATAAATATTGACATGTCTTTATTTTCTTGACGTCGAATGAACGTATTTCGGATGGAGTGATTGTCGGATGGACTCGCCCTACCACAGGAACGTGGAATTCCCAACATCGATTGTCTACCTGGACTTGTTTGAGCCTCCAAACTACTTTGACTTTTTACTTTGAAATTCAAAGATGTTTTATTTACTTCCTTTGTTTTCACAACTAGAACAAGGTTCATAGTAGAGGTTTTTGGGTTAGATCGTGTAAATATATAAATGTGTCGTTAAACCCGCCACCACCCGACACAGCCAGTGAGCTAGGTTTGTCACGTAAACAGAACGTGTCAATTCGTCTCTAGTACAGCACACCGGTGTGTTGGAGATCCAAGCCACAACATTTACAATCCGATCACGACGTTTCGCCAGTAATTACAATGAGCGGACAGACAGATTTGTGGAGAAATCCCCCTGTTTCATTCTTTAAATAGAGGGCATTATATGTAAACCTATATTATGGATGATATTGGTCACGAAAGCCTACGTGTTAGAACGAGGTTAATTTCTCCCACGTTCATTTGTGAACTCGAGTAAGACACGTGGAAGTCTCGTAAAATCAATCGTTGGTCGTTCGCACACGTGGTGGTGGTTTTGTCGCCGTAGAACACAGATGGTCGTCACAGCTCTTTTTCCTTCCGATATCAGGGGGCCACTGCAAGCTATGGCACTTCAAAATAATCATCTAGATTGACAAGCACATTTGTTTAGAGATGCTTTTCGCGCTTAGTTTGTTGTGTTGTTCCACTCACGGAGCTATTTCTGTGTTGACCGTTGGGAAGCTGCGTACCCCCCCTCCCCCCTTAGAAGCCAGATAAGCCATAGCCCCGTTAATCCGGCAAGCTTTAAATTGGATATACATTAATAACAACGGTCACATGTCATGGCCCAGAAAAGCCCCACTGAGCCTCGCCCAAAGACTCTTTTCAGGGAGTGCATTCGGACGTTTGGCCAACTCCGTTTTAATGAGTCATTTGCTCGTGTGAGGAAACCAACGAATGCCCGGAGATAAAGTTCAAAATCGATAAATAAACAGGTCAGAAACCTATTTGCTGCACTGCCATCTCATTACACCACCTCCGAGATCCCTGTGGTGTGTGTACCCAGTGTGTATATTTGTGCGTGCGTGCATGGAGAGCAGTGGAACCTGCTGAGTTCAAGTACGAGACATGGCTAACATCAGCTGCAAGTGGTATCAGAACATGTCCTGGCCTTACCTAGGTCAATTCAGCCTGAAATGAATACCTGGTGCGAAGCGTAAACATCGCCACTCGGGAGACAAAGGTGGCCGTGCGGGGTGCTGGTCACACCACCCCACCCCACCATGCACTGTGCTGGCCTTCATAGGTGCTCGCTAACAGCACTTGCCGCTTACAGTTTATTGGCTAGACAGGGGATCTTTACCTTTGTGTTTGTACGTGATTACTAAGTTTCTACTAGATATCTGTGAAACTACAGGACATCTGTGAAAAAGAGCTTCATAGCTCACTAGATTCCTCCAGTAAAAATACATATTCCGATCTAGTCTCCTCCTATGCACGTGTCGAATTACTCTCATGATCATCATCATCATCGTCGTCGTCGTCGGCCATGCTCAATCCACTGCTGGGCACGTGCCGACCACCTCACCTGCCACACGACGAGCACCGAGCGTGCGTCGACACCCTTCACGGCGAGCGTCAGCCCGCGTGCCTCCACCCCGCCGGGGCCCGCCGGCCCGCCCGTCACGCGCAGCGTCACGCCGCGCGTGTCCGCGCCCTCCGAGTTGTGCGCCACGCACGTGTACAGGCCCGTGTCATCGCCCCGCGCGTCCGAGATCACCAGCCGCCCCTCGAGCTCCACGCGGTACCGGCGGGCGGCGAGTCGGCGGCCACCCTGTCCCCGCGTGGCGTCACCCAGTAGATGGCGGGCTCGGGCTCTCCGACGGCGCTGCACTCCAGCGTGGCGCTCGCGTGCGGCTGCAGCTCGAGCTTCGAGGGCAGGGCGGCCGGCGCAATGAGCGGCAGGCAAGCCTCGGCGAGGGCCCCGCCGAGGGACGCCGCCTCCCGCGCGTCGCGCCCCTCGGCGTCGGACAGCGACGCGCAGCGCATCGACTCCGGCTCGAGGAAGCGCACTGCCGTCTGGTTGGCGCCCAGCCACCGGCTGACGCAGTCGCAGCGCAGCGGGTTGCCGTGGAGGCTCACCTCCCGCAGGCTGGGCAGCGAGTGCACGGTGGCGAAGTAGAGGGCGGTCAGCGCGTTGTCGTTGAGCATGAGGCTCTCCAGCTTGGGCACGTCACGGAAGGCCTCGCGGTGGACGTAGCCCAGCTTGGGGTTGTTCGTCGCCTCCACCTTTGTCAGCTCGGGCAGGTTGTCCAGGGCGAACCTCTCGACCGAGACCGGCTCGGCCATGCTGCTGACGCCCAACTCCTTGAGCCGCAGCATGTCGCGGAAGTCGCCGTCGCTGATGTGCCGGATCGGGTTTTTGTTGAGGTCGAGGAACTTGAGCGTGGGCACCCTCTGCAGCGCCACACGGGGCACGCGCTCCAGCTGGTTGTCGTAGAAGGAGAGACTCTCCAGGTTGTCCAGGCCCACCATGGCCTCGCTGGGCAGCACCGACAGGCCCATCCCGGCCAAGACCAGGCTCCGCAGATTCGCCAGCGGCCGGAAGTTGAAGTCGACGATGCCGGACACGGGGTTCTCCCCGATCATGAGGATCTCGAGACCGGGCGTGTGCGCGAACCAGCGCGCGTCAATGCTCCTCAGCTGGTTGGAGTTGAGGTGGAGGCGGAGGAGGCTGGAGAGGCCCCGGAACGCTCCCGGCGCCACGGTGCGGATCTGATTGTGGTTCAGGTAGAGCTCCTGAAGATTCGCGAGGTCCTTGAGGCAGCCGTCGGGCAGCTCGGTGACGTGGTTTTCCTCCAGGTGGAGGGTCACGAGCTGGGTCAGGTTGGACAGCCCCGTGTCCAGGACAGAGCTGAAATTATTCTGCGAGAAGTCGAGGTCGGTGAGGTTCAGGAGGGACGACAATATCGGGTCGGGCACGACGGCAATGGAATTCCCCTGGAGTAGAAGGACCTCGGTGGTGGCCACGATGGCGGGGGGGATGCCTGTCAGGTGCTGGTCATTGCAGTCGACGGTGGGGGCCTCCCGGTAGGTGGACTGCGGGGTGAACCATGGGCGCACCTCGCAGACGCACGGCTCAGGGCACCAGGAGGCCCACTGCGAGCCGTAGCAAGCGGCGGGCAGCAGCAGCAGCAGGAGCGTAGGGAAGAAGAGGCACGCTCGAAGCGGGCGGAGCGCCTGGGCCGCCATCGTGGGATCCGGGCGCTTTCACCGAGGGACCTCGCGCAAATGCCCGCGGCGCAAGCAGCAGAACCAAAGGACGTACAAAAAAAATATGTTCAAACAACACCTAATTTTTTTCTTTTGTATTCAAGTGAAAATATTCATCGCGTCAAGCCTGGGTCCACAGGGCTGGCCAACGCGTTTTTTTTCCTTCCAGGAAAGGGGTTACGTGATTAGGCGTGTTTTTCACTTATTCTGGCTTAAGATGCTTCGATGGAGAAGCAGATTGATTTTCCTTCATTGACTCAAGGAGAGCTTCTTTAAGTGCATTCTGGCCTGGGGGGGAGGGGGTGAAAGGAAAAAAAAACACGAAAGAAAGTATCAGACTGCTTCGCCATGTCCGTACGAATCGCTACGCGCTGCACAAAATCAATCCGTCCCTGATGCGGTACACATTCAGCTTCATGTACTGTACGTACAGTATGCACGTTGGACTTCTTTTTCGTGCTGTGCGTAGCCAACCGCGCTGATCGGAGGTGCGACTGCTGTCCCGTCGGACATTGCACACAATTAAACCGACCGTGAAAGTTACAATTCAATCTCAGGGATGCCGCGGTATGATCTATCACGACAGGATACGGTGTCGAGTCTCCCAACGTGACGAAGGGTCACGGTATCCGCGTTTGTTTTGTTTTGCAATTCAACTGCACGTTGTGTTAAATCCGTAACGTGCTGGTTCTGTGCCGCGCGGTACTTGCAGCGTACATTAAAACAAAAGTTGTCTAAAAGTTCAACTGCAGCTCTCTCACACCATCGTTGGCCCTTTGCAAACATTATTCAATCCATTGCAAATTTATGGAAAATATAAGAAGAAGGTTTTACCCTTACTGGCAATAAAACAGGAGGTGGAAAGATGTTCTGACACCAAATATCTACAATTTTGCAAGGCATCCTCAATTCTGCATGAACCACACATACTTGTGGTGAGCATGCTAACAAACATGCTCTGATAATACATGCATTGTGTTTGAAACTGATTGGCAGACACCAAAAACAGCCGTCTCTTATGGCCTAGCCTCAGCAGTGTGAGACCATAGAACGACGTGAAAAGGCGAACAGTCCAAAGACAATGCAAGTATCAGAACACTCATAGCTCGGGTGGAGCAGTTATTCTTTTTTTTCCCATCATTTTGGATACTGGCAAACAGAAAAAACGGTCCCGTAGATACACTGCACATTTACAAGCAATCGCACTAACAACACACACACACAGGCTGTCAGTGCCACGAGAAATAATGAAATGATAGAATCGCTAAATTAACGAGGTCATATAACTGCCGTCAATTACTCTGGAAAACAAAGCACTCGTTTTAACGGGAAACTGCTATTAATGGGGAACTGTGATATCTCGTTGTTTTTTAAAGAAATCTTTTGTTTTAGTGAGGCAAACAAAAATATTTGCATGTGTACGGCAAGGCCGTAATTATAATAAATATTGGGGGGGGGGGGGACGCACCCCCCCCCATATTCAAATATGCTCAAAATGTCCCCTCCAATATATTGCTACAAAAAAGATTTCTGTTTATATAATTGTGGTTTGGTTGTACTTTATTCATCCCTAATCTCTGCCATTACATACAATGAAACAAGAAAAGGTAAAAAAAAGAAAAACATAGCAATATAATACAATATAAATTTTTTATAAAAAGTCCATCCCATGTGAAATGGCAGGAAATTCGTTTTCAAATTTAGATTTTTTTCTGCGGAGGGACCCCTAAACCCCCTGGAAGATTTGGTCCCCCCCAATGTTGACTCCATGGCTACGGTCTTGATGTGTACTGTATACACAGGCCACACAAATTACGATATGACGATGTTGTACAACGCGGATGATACGGTGCGTGTTGTACAACGCGGATGATACGGTGCGTGTTGTACAACGCGGATGATATGGTGCATCGCGCACTCCGTATCGCACGATGTTATCACGGCTATCACCAGACCGCGGTTTCATTTCACTTCACCAAAGTCGGCCCCTTTATTATTTTTTCCTCTCCACGAAAGTTATCGCTTTTGTGCCCTCCCCTCTTTAACCACTCTCACTCCGTCAGCATTGAGCCGCAAGCCTCCCGCGAAGCGCGATTTGTCACCTGAGCAGCAGGCCTCAATTCATTTATTCGATGGGCAATAAAGGATAAATGATTGTTCCTGCCCCCTGGACGAAATATACGACCGTCGGTCCGCGCCGACAGGCCACGCTCTCCACTCACAAAGCCATTGCTCAGCGAAGGGCCATTGTCATTTAAACAATGGCGTTCGTTTATTCCCGATTGATTGGGGTAAAAAAAATGGAAAGGGGGCACAGGGCCGCAAGGTTGCTTGGGCACGCCACTGCCGGGAGATGAAGGGGGGGCTTTGCCTCTCCACTGGCGGAGAGGGAGCTCTGGGAAATCGCCACCTCGTGGATATTTTAGCCTCCGCGGACGTCTTAGAAGGAGGTGGAGGTCCCCAGACTTTACCCCACCAATGTAACAAACCAAAACTAATACCTAGGTTTTAACATTTACGTTTCAATCTGGACACGTTGTCTTGAGATGAAGAAACGGTGCGGATTTGCCTTTGGATTGGGCAAATACCGAACCAAACACTGTTTAGATTTTGAACATCAGGGTAATTGAGGAATATGAACACAGCTTTTCTTTCATGACCAATCAAAGGAAAGAAAGATCTTGGAGTTTCGTCCAAAACGGCTTCTCTTAAATGCCAATCGTCGGCATTGTAAATAAGAACTGACGGCAAAATAAAACTGTCGTGCCCGCCAATTGATCTGTTGTTCGCCCGAGTGGCAACTTCACGGCTCGCATTCAGATGTCCCCAGTATATCAGAATTTGAATATTTATTTATACTGGAGGAATCCAATTAACTATAAAGCTCCTTTTCACAAATGTCCATTAAGGGCGGTTAAGAACATTACAACAACAAACATTACAAAAACACGATGTAGTGCAAAGTACCAGAAAGGTAAACAAATGACCCAGACAAATACAAAACTAAACCACCCCCATCCTACCAGGCAAAGCCGCACTGAGGTATTAAAATATTATTCAGAAGCGACCTGGCCACAAATCATTGCTCAACAAAGTGGACCATCATTTGGACATTTATAGCCAGCTAAATAATCTAATCTCAATGGATGTTTGTAAACATCGCAACACGACATCCTCGAGCGTGGAGGTGGCATACGCTGTTACCGGTCGATCGGCGGCTTACGAGTGGTGCAAGTTGCTCGTGATGGAGTAAGGCTGGGACGCTGCCACGGCACAATGGTTCAAACACCGTGGACCTGCAATCAAGAGGTCGCCGGCTCGTCCTTCCTGCGCGGCATTTGAAACAAATGTTTTGCGCGTTTATTAAAATTTGCAGCGGTGGCTTTTGGGCTGGCCATCGAACAAAGATGACCACCGCATCGCGCGGCGCTTCCAGGTGCGCCTCTGCAGCCGTCTGGAATGCTCTTCCCTTCCGATATTAGGAAGCCGCTGCGAGCTAAGCACTTTTAAATCATCATCTAGATTGGAAACTCATTTCTTGAGAACTGCCTTTTTGTGTTTAGTTTGTTGTCCTTCCCCCGCGCCTCCGATTAGCGCGCCTGGCCACGTACGGCGCGAAAGAAGTTCAACGTCCGTACAAATCCGCACCCCCCGTCATTTGTGTCCACCCGCCCGGTGGCATAAAACGGGCTTACCGCGATCAGTCCATCGCGTGGTGGGGTAAAGTGGTGGGATATACGCCACCACTTTCGGTTCAAGGCTTCTGAAGATTAAGGCCGAGGAACCTCGGAAGGAGTTCGCTCTCCCTACAGGGCCCCCATACCCCCATCCTCCACTGGCCGAACGAGTGAGCGAGCGGCGGGGAGTCACACAAAACTAATTTTGCGGGCGTCTGCGCCTATTGCCAAGCGAATGCGCTGCACTCCTTGGGCAAATTTCTAGGGAAACCTTTCTCGGGCGCCCCATAAACCTTTCTCGGGCGCCCCATGCGACCACGGGGAGAACACGCAAACTCCAAATATACAGGCATCAGGGTCAAGATCAAACCCACGACCTCCTGTATACCAGGTGAGGTAGTAAACATCTTGCCACCGTGGCCAGTAGCTTACAGTTAGGGTTGAGAAAACAAATTAATCCGGGACATATCATGGGCAGAAGAAAATCTCTGAATATTAGAAGAGGGGGGGAACTCCATGTGAATGCATTGTTCTGAGCGGTGAATTATTATTATTAAGATCATGCAACTGACCAAATTGGCACTTTTAATGTCCCGGAAAGAATGACCGATATCCAAAGACAGTGCACCACCTCAACACGGGGACGATCCCGGAGAAACAATGAGAGTTGGCGGATCGTATCTACAATTCATCTGCGAGGACGCTCACTTGAATGTCAGCTGTTGTTGTTGTTGTCAGAGGAGCCGTCTGCCCGCTACATTGGGGGCTCGCTTCCAAGTGAATAAGAGGTATTTAAAAGGCCTAGTGGCATTTAAACTGTCATTCATACGCGCAGCCCAGTCCCATGCGTCTGAACTAAAGATGCGGCGCAAAAGACAAACGGCCCTTATCACGTAGAAAGATTAAAAATAAAAACCCTATGATGTGTCCCATGCTGTTCAACACAAGCAATGCGGGTGCTGGCACATTGGGGGCCCTAATCGTAACTTATTTTGGACCACCCCCCCCCCTCCACTTTAGATGTATAAATTGCTAGTGAGATAGCTGAAGAGATTATATAGATAACAGATGTAGGTATGGCGAGACGAGAGATAGAGCTAGGAAAACAGATGTTGGAAACGTGGGAGATACAGGCAAGAGACACGTGAGATGAGAGAAGGGAGATTCAGAGAAGATCGAGATGAGAAAGAGAGAGAGATTATCCGTTTCATGTTCATTCGCTCTCTGTACGTTTGCTGTGATTTTAATTCGATATGATGATGTTGGTTCACCCCTTGTTGTAATTACAGCGCCCCTTCAGCTGTTTTGGGTCCCAAAACGTTAGTTTACTTGTGCGTCATGCCTCCAGTGAACACACACGATT